CAAATTTCAGTAAATGACATCTACTTAAAGATTTTATTTTGTGGTAGATACAAATAATAAGTATGATGCATTTGTGTAAGTTTCCGGACATTAAAAGAAAGAACATTTTATTATCTATGGAGATAACCTTGTATACACATTCTGGCGGAGGGCAATTTCCTTTCAACTTATGCTACCTTGTCAGTAGGCGTACAGTTTATACATGAACATGACCTTGCAAAATCTATCAATTACAGTATTTTGTCCCAATAAAGGGTACATTATATCAAAAGTTAGTTTTATATATATAACGACATACATGACCTTGAAAAATATGTCGCTATTTTCATTCATTTGCCTTTCTGTGTGATAATTTTCTATTTCAGGCTATCTAGATGAGGGTGTGGGTGGGGGTTTACAGAATAGAGAATAATGGGCAAAAAGTATAAAGAATAGAGAAAAATGGCCTAAACAATTAAAGAATACAGAAATGAAGGACTCCCATCTAGACCTACCTAGATGTGTCCAAAAGCCCAATTGCCAATAGGCTTTCGAAATTCTATAATTTGAAATAACTTAAACATCCTCTAATTGCAATGGAATAGAAAGGATGTGGTGTATCAATTCATAACACAAAATAACTACATGATCATGAAAAAAGGCAAGGTGAACTGCACCTTTATTGCTGTTATTTATATCAAAGACACAGGGAGGAATCAATCTTAAAGTAAAACTCCCACCTCGCTGCATCTTAATGACAGTACCTAACTGACAACAAAGTTGAACGTAGTGTCTGAACAGTACTGAATTTTCCGCAGTGGATAAGTCTGAAAAATGTGTGAAAGTTTAGTCTTTAAAGAGAGAGAGAGAGAGAGAGAGAGAGTTGTTCAGATCAGACCTTTTCAGGTTAAAATTAGTTTACTAAATTTACCCAAATGCAGGTGCTTTTGGAATAACCCAGTGACTAACAATTGGGTATGTCAAATACAGAGTACGTTAATGATGATCAAAACCATTGCAAGAGCCTAAAGAAAACAGCAGAAACGGCTACGATTTATGAGACCAACATAATTTAGTTATGAATGGTTCAGTGTCAAATATTTTATGAATACTCAGAAGAACAGAGTTACATTTAATCAATAAGGTACGTAGGTTAATGAAAAATTATTGGTCGAAATAGTTTATCTGCAAACGTGAAATTAAATTATTTCTTCTGAAATAAGATAAGAACCACGCAAAAGGCCGCAATGGTTCTCCAAAGGATTGTTGAAAGGGCTGATGCAATGGGCTTAATTCAGATAATCGAATTCACCCTTCCCTTCTTTTACAACTACTCATTTGATGTCTTTACTAGTAAACAAAACCCTAATGTCTTATAAAAGTGTTTCCCTGACGATATGATTAGCCAGTTGATGTATATAGTAATGTACCCACCCACACCAGTCGGAGGGTTCATACACTACTTTAAATCCAAGAGCTTATGCATGCCACAAGATTGTCAGTATAAGTACCTTTTTCGAACCAAATGTTTGCTCCTATTTCTTAATTGCCTAGTTTGGAATACACCACTGCAATGTACGACAAAGAATGCAAGTCCACTTTGCTAACAAAACTCGAAAAACGACTAGTCAACGATAGAGATACTAAAAAAACACTCTTTGGTAAAGAAGGATATAGCTTACTTGTCGTTGTCCTTCAAGCTATTATTGTAAGCTTGATATGTATTGTATACGTATATTGATGTCGGAAGTATTTATAAAATAGCCGTCACATGTATTCAATAGAAACACAGTACAAAACAGATTTTATTACATTACTAAAATAATATCATGCAATATATTGAAAAGTTCTTTTTTTTCTTTAAAGAATCATGATAAATCAATTCTAAACATGCTAAATATAATCTTCCATTTATTTCATTATAGAAATGTAATAGCTTTATTTATTTTTACACGTTGCTCAATTTCATCGTGACCAAAAAGGTAAACGAAAATTCTATGACCAATATTTCTTTGTAAATACAAAGACACGCCCATTTTAATAGCTCTTTATGATTTTTTCAACCCTAATAAAAAAGACGGAAATATAATTTTAAAGCGCCCTAGATATGAAACTTTTATTTGAATGGAATACTCCATCTCATTGCTGTTAACAGAAAAAAAAATCAACTTGAGACGAACGAAAGTTGGGCTACATTTCAGAAAAAGTATATCATAAATTGTGGTGTGTGCGCTGTAATACCTTAGATAATTCGTTGGAGAACGATTGTTGTAAATTTGTTACATATCATAAAAGATGTAAACATTCATATCAGGGTCAGAGTAAATAAACATCAGATATTAATAAAAGTAACCCCCCAGTCAGAATAAGCACTTGCAGTAAACATTTTGATCGATGTGGAATGGGGAAATTCTGAATACCTCCGTTTTATATAAAGTTTTTAAAGAGAATTAATCCTTCCGAATAAACAAAGCAAGAAGATTTTATAGAAAACGTGGTCTAAAGTTGAAAAAGTAAAAATGAATGTATCTGTACAGTGAAAGTCTGTAAAAAATAAGGATGATATGAAAAGGATTTGTTTTTCGAGTTCCACGGTAAATTCGATTGATTCCTATTAACGATTGATATTATCATGAAACGATCATACATACATGTAACTGTACCTAAGAACTTTCCATTTTCGAATATATATGTATATACTAATACTTTGTCTGATTTTGCACAATACTGTTTAATATGGAAAACGGTAGCAATTGTTTGCCCTATTATGATATATAAATGTACATCTTGAGCTAAATAAACTCATCATAGGTACGTATACCAGGAATAAATTTTATTACGCCAGACGCACGTTTCGTCTTCAAAAGACTCATCAAGGCCAAATAAAGTTCGAAGTTGAAGGGCATTGAGGACCCAAAATTCCGAAAGGGTTTTCTCGAATAAAGTATAGGTAATCTATTCACATTGATGTTTTCAATTTTCTCTGTATACCTATAATAGCTACATTTTGTTATTGTATGTTGCATGGATGGTTAGTTCTTGACAAGCACGGCTAGATACATGTATGAATACAGTTCAAATAAGCAAGACGTTCTCAAACATACTTTTTCTAAAATAAAAATTATCATAAATTGCACATTTAGATAACAAATTGTTTGTTTACTTTTGACAATTTTTTTCACGGGAATGCAAATATTTGGTATTAGATTATATCGATAAAAAATATCCCTTTTTTATTATAAACGTACTAAAAAGTATTGAATTACGATTTTGTTTGTTTATTTCTGTGAGGAGGTGGGTTAAGTGGGTGGGTTCATTTTTTCGAGCCTTGATTTTTTGCGCGTCATCGTGGAACACTTCATTTCAGTTTTGTCTTATATTTTCGGTTATTTTCAATTCAGTTTTATTTATCAATCTTATTTTAAACTAGATTGCTTTAATTCCTTACTTGATTCCCCATAAAATCAAATGGGTTCTCTCTAAAAATTTGATGTTTTCAATTATATGTGTCCTTCATTGCATTATTTGGGCGAAGGTGTAAAAGTTTTTCTTGTTTTAAATTTTCCTTTATTTTTAATTGAGGCAATATCAAACAAAGATGAAAAAAAAAAAAAATAAGATTTTTGTCAGACGGTCCTTATGACCATATTCATGTTTCCAGACAACTCTCTAACTTAGTTGTCTGCATATTAGAAAAACGTTGATGCCTTATTTTCTCTTTCTCAGAATATGAAATTTATCGTCACCTTTAAAACTGTTACATTATCTGGTTTATCATGCAATTATTTAAAATGAAGGAATGATCACTCCAATTGGATGGTTGTTTCTTACTTTCGTTTTCAAAACGTTCGTAAATGAGGACCTTGGTCACGAAAAAGGAAGAGTGTGGGAAAAATTATGATGGGTTATTATGAGCAACGGGAAATCGTCTTTAGGATTAACAGTAACAATTACCACATATATCTGCAAGAAACATGACGAACAAAATAGTTTCAGCACAAAGACACGCAAAATGAAAATGTCAATTACACATTGAATAAAAATACAATCTTGTACCGTCTTCGTTAATTTTTCTTTCACTTTTATCCAATCCTTACAACTACTATATAATATATAGTTCACTACTTATTACTTAAATTTAAAACGCCTACATGTTACGCTTTTCCAATATGCCAGTCATACTATAATATATTGCTCCGCCCTATTGATCATTGAACGGACATTCATCTTACAAACAATTCAATTCTCGTAACATTATTACAGAAAAATCATTGAAGTACAGATAAGTAAAAATGCAGTATGAACCAGTCTCATTTGGTTTGTTGACAGAATATAAGATAAAATAGATTGAATTCATTGAAAATATGTTTATTTACATTTGTACATTAAAACACTAATTATTACATATATCAATATAACAAGAATCATGTATCATCACAGAAAGTTATTTATTTCAACAAAAGATTAATTTGGAACTGGAAAATTCATTATTTTTACATGTAATCCGAAACACGTCTTTAGTAAAACTAGTACTCCATCGCGGGAAAAAAAAAATATTCAATTTAATTTTCATCAAATTTTATATTGTCACGAAGAGAGAGAGGAAAGAAAAGATAAGTCTATAAAGTGGACGGTGTCCTATAGTTGTTAATTTCTGTGTCATTTGGTCTCTTGTAGAGAGTTGTCTCATTGGCAATCATACCACATCTTCTTTTTTTATAATTACACTCCTATATGCCTGGCAAGAATTATCATTAGGCTTCCATATAGAAACATATAATACAAACAATAGACTTTGTCAAATGGTAAGAACCATAACATAGACATCTATGGTATTATACGTTTATATATACTCGGTCAGTAAATAATGTGGGGGAGTTTGTTTAGCTGTGCGGCATTTATAAATACGTAGCCACGTTCGTTCAGAATAGGACGTTAAGGTGGATGGGGGGTCTTAATTAAAATCCATAGAATTTTTTGATAATTTGTCAAAATGTAGTTTTTATCATGCTGTTTTTCCAAAATATAATAAAAAGTAAGGGTCACCGGACTTTTTTTCACGCTACAAGTTGTGCTAAATTGTCAGATTTTGTATAGATTATGCATGGAAAATCCAATTGTGTGTGATAAAAAGAAAACTACACCATAGAATTTTAAGATAAAATGTGAGAAGATAGCTCTTATAACATGCTTTCAGAAAAGAAAAAGAAAAAATGGGGTCACCAGACTTGTTTTCTTGCTACATATTAAAATAGGTAAATTCATAACACTTTCTATTATAAAAATTACTTATCTGAGTTATCTCCCCTACTATCTGAGTTATCTCCCCTTATGTAAGCCAAACTTGCTTCCCTGACCTCTTTTTCTAGTGACATTTAATGGAAAAACAAAGGATATGGGGTATACATCCATGACACAAAATCAGTACATGCACAGCAACAAAACACACAAAAAGCAAAGGAACAGCGCTTTTATTGCTGTTCTTCATCTCAAAGTCACAGTGAGGACTTCAACACCGAGCAAAAAAACTCTTACCTCACTGCAAGTTTAAAACGACCCCTAGCACCAGCTTGAGCGGAATTCTTTGTTAAAATAATTTGGATAAACTTCGTAAGATGCAACACCACCTAATCGGGCCCTACATCACTATCAACCCCTTGGCAGAACCTGCAATACATATTTATTGTTATTTTGTTCTGAATATACAAGAAATATTTGCCACTGAACGTTAAGCAAACAATGATTGACCAATCAATCTTTCACCTTGGATAAAAATAAGGAGATGTGGTATGATTGCCAATGAGACAACTATTCACCATAGTTCTAATGACGTGGATGTCACCGTATGGCCTACACTGATAATGAGAAAAACTCTTGCCATGTAGTATGCTATAAAAGGCTCCGACATGAAAAGTGTGAATTTAATTCAATTTACGAAAATCGAATATGACAGTTATACACATTTAAGCATTAATTTTGACAACAACAACAACTAACTTTATTACCAATAATGGACCTACACAACAAACATATATACAGAGGAATAAACAATATTGATTAGTATAGATACATACAATATAAATACACAATTACAATATTTACTATACAGACATTTTGACTATAACAGTGTCACAAGCATACACTATACAATACAATAGTTTTTTTATCCAATAATACAAATCTTTAGCAATATTTTCAGCTGCATATAAGACCTGATTGTCTTCCCTTCTTAGGGGCCTCGGTGCCGAGTGATCAAAGTAGTGCAATCTTTTGTATCACTAGCCTATCAATACTGAGGTTGTGAGTTGGAACCCCGGACGTTGGACTCCAATCTTAATTACTTATATGATTGTCAGATTTCCAGACAAAGATCGCTGTGCTTTTCTCTGGGTACTCCGGCTTCCTCCACCAATAAAACTGGCTTCCACGACATAGCCAATAGTACTGAAATTGGCGTTTAAGGTGGTACCTAACACTACAGGGAGATAACTCTGTAAAAATCAGCTAAACGTTTTAATCACGTTGTATTGTTAAGGAAATATTAAGCTTCTCAATGATCAAAATTAGTGTTTGTCAAACTGCTATATAACCAATGAAATTTTTTTGATAAAGTGGTTGGTTCAAATTTTTTGAAATTTTTATATTTTTGTCAAATGGTCAAAGTAAACATTTTGTCAAAATTTTATGAAAATTAAACGAGCCAAATTAATATTAGTCAAGGTGTTGGGTACCACCTTAATACCAACAAACAAAGAATCAATCAATCTACCCGCTTTTTAAATAAATATACAAATGAGAGATAACTCTTGATACTTCATATTAGAATATAAAAGAATATTAATTATTCTAGTTATTGGCTCTTGATTGGGCCACATGACATTCATATTAACATGACACTATGATTGATAAACAATGTCCGTGATATTCAAGACACGGCTGTATACATCTCATCTAACATTATCTCTATACATTAAATTATGAGCTGCGTGGGATAGTAATCGACCTTCTGCAAATGCATATCTATACATCTGTTTCGGGTTGAAAAAATGTTTATGCAGTCTGTAACTGTTTGAAAATTGAGTTGATATAAGAACCCTACAAAACAGACCAAAATTCCTCTTTTATTTCGTATTTGAATGTTCCAAAATCAATCAAAGTGTTACACATCGTCGTGTGAATCTTATAATGATGCATTTCCTATTTGGTAATATAAAGCTCAATATCATAAATATTGGACTCAGACATAAAAAGTTATACAGGAATCAAATTGACGTACATGAAGAATAACTCTTTTTCGATTGTTTTTATTTAATAGACAAGCAACTTAGATAAATAAAGCATCCCCTTGAGATAGAATATTTCACTACAAACAATGTAGTTTTTTGAATGTATCCATATATTTCCATTGAAGATAGACCATGAACTTTTTAACTTTGCAATATCCCCAATTCTGTACTGCTGGATTTGATAAGAATTGCTCAAGGATTGAGTTCAAACCATGCAAACCATTTAACCATAGGACGACTAAGATAATTTTGTTAACAATTATTTAACAGCAAAAATGCATGAGAAATAGTGGAGATACAACATTATAAAAATATGTTTCTCTGAACTAACTAAATGAATAAGCCATTATAATCCAATTGGGGTGTGGATATAGAACCGTGTAGTTCTGACAAAAACTGGTAGAGTGAAAAAAACCTCGTATTATATAGGGAGATAGGCCATTGCACTTGGATCTCAAATATATAGCTATTTTCATTTTTATCAGAAGGGGATAAATAACACTATAAGATTCACACGACGACATATACATGTAAACGTGCACTAGAATATAGTCGATTTCTATCCGAAAAGCTCATTTATTAATGATATATTTCACTACAGATATATACCGAAAACATATGATTTATAATTGTTTACCTCTGCGTTTAAAATATAGCCCTATCATCGGTGTTTGCTGGACAACTAATAATAAAATGTAAGTCATCTTCAACAAGATTTAGAATACATGTTTTTACAATGACTCTAAAGATCTTTCCCTTTATGTAGTCTTATACATGTCTCTTACTTTTTTGAGATCATGAGCGATGATTTTAATTTTACACGGCACAATATCTGAGGTTTGAAGATGTAAAAAGACTCTCAAGACTTGTTATAATCTTGAACACGATACTTGTAAATATGAAGCAAATACGATATGTTGATCAGAACTATAGATCTTGAACTTTATCTGGAGATTGTTCATGTGTTATTTCGTCTAGCGTATATAGAAATGGAGCTGATTTGGATCTAAGTGATCGTTTAGGCGTAACAACGTTTGGTTGACTAAAACGTCGAAGGTCTATTCGACTCCGTGATTTCTTAAATGGATGTATAAAGAAGGACCAGTCTTTTTTCGCCATCTGTGATGGTCCCCAAGTAGTTCGTGGTCTGCAGCCCTGTAAAAATGCAAAACATTTGTAACTTCGAAAAAATAAAGAAAATATAATACCTATAATACATAATAACAAAATAAATAACAATTAAAGTACTTCAAAGAAAAATCTGTATTTTTTTTAATTATTTCTGCAGACAAAGAAGATATCGGAAACGAAAATATCCTATTCTTTATCAACAAAGAAGCGATCGGAAACGAACATACCCTATTCTTTATAGGAAATAATGTCTTATGCAATAAAAGATATGAGTCTTAACTTTTATATATCTATACAGCGTTTAAACTGACTTATTTTTGCTGACGTTATACAGGTAGTACTGTACGTACTTACCCGTGAAATGTCCTTTGTTATAAAATAATACATCCACCAGCCAGGAATGAACAACACAGAAAACAGAACAGTAAGCCAACCTAAAGCATTGGCCCAGTTAGGATAAACATAGGATCCTAACTTTATTGGCTCATACTGGAGTGCTTTAAGTATCACGACAAGCTGAAATAGAGGAAGAGAATCACTTTGTAAGCAGATGCAGATATTCTTTGTCTTCTGTTTTAGTGTTTTGGGGTTGCTGTCACATAAACTTATTTATCACATGCATGTACATATGTTGGAGAAATAATTACTACTTATAAGTTCTATAATTTGTGGCTGATGTTACAGTGTATTGAATTTTTCATAAAGATATGTTTAACACGTGATACACTGCTTGTATTAGATGTAAGCTTCTCGTATCTGAGGTGCGTTAGCCCCAAAGATATGAAACCATTACATCTGATTTACAAAGAAAATGCAATTAGTTTTGATAAAACAAGAACAGTGTCACTATCTCAAAGTTTCCAGATGCAGTAACACTTTCAGAAGATGTTTTGTAGTTATGTACTTGGAATGAAATCTTAATTGCGTCTTTTTTTCTGTCTTCAAATTGATACCTTATCACTGCTTTTGTTTGGCAATATGATTTTCTGTGCTATCTTGCCTTTTTCTGGTTTAATTGCCAAAATCTGAACTTTTTGCTGGTAAATAGTGTTAAAAAAACATATTAAATCTTCCCTCAAGTACTAGCAACGAAAAGTACAACTGATCGCAAATAATGAACTTTAAATGGTATTTTAAAACATTTTGTGTATAATGCAGAAAAAGAACATATTTTTTTTCTTTGCTCCAATATATATTTAATAGATATACCTACACGTATATTTTACATTAAGTTTGGTATTGCTATCACCTTTTTGAAGATTTATCTAATAGATGGTTATAATATAAAAATAATAACATGTGGTATGATTGCCAATGAGACAACTCTCTACCAGAGACCAAATGACATAGCGGTTAACAGCTATAGGTCACCGTACGGTATTCGACAATGAGCAAAACCCATTTATTAATTCAGTATTTCAGAATATAATGCATTTAGAAGTATCACGCGTTTGAAAACTTATCTAGATGGTTAAGTATTTATGAACTCGCCGTCTCAGAATCTAATGCAATCTGGGTGATATTTTCAAATGCGTACACCAAAGTATTGTGATTGATTAAAAAACGTCAAAAAGAATGTAAATTGAACCAATATTAATAACGTGGCGTTATTTTCATTTTGGGTACATTAATGAAACCAACCACAGTCCATCACATTCTAAATGCAGAGATATCGTGTCTGTCCATCACTACCGTAAAGGAATTGTATAACAGTGGGTGATATTTTCAAATGCGTACACCAAAGTATTGTGATTGATTAAAAAACGTCAAAAAGAATGTAAATTGAACCAATATTAATAACGTGGCGTTATTTTCATTTTGGGTACATTAATGAAACCAACCACAGTCCATCACATTCTAAATGCAGAGATATCGTGTCTGTCCATCACTACCATAAAAGAATTGTATAACAGGCGGTTGTTCAAATCATTAATATGAAAACTAGCAAATCAAGTAGAGTTATGACTTTAGTAATACAAATGGTGTTAATGAATTTAAAAAACAATACGTCAGTTAAGGCAATATATATCCCTTCAAAACAAAACCAAATTGCTGATTGTCTTTCTCGTTCTCAGTGGGGGATGTTCATAAGCCTAGCTCCAGAAGCAGACCAGTGGCCAACCAAATTCCAACACAGATCTGGAACATTTAAGTCAGGTGGCGGATTATATTGTCAATCAAGGTATGTCCAAAAATACACAAAAATCATACAATTTGGCTCTGTCAAAACTTTGTAATTTTAGATCATCTTACAAATTGAAACAGCATTGGCCAGTGCCAGTCAATGATTTACTAAATGTTATAGTTTTTTTGTCAGAACAAGGTCTTTCTGGGGGTACCATATCATCTTATATATCAGGAGTTTCATATCATCATAAAATACAAGGCATACATGATACTGCAAAATTCTTTATAATTGGCATTAGAAGGAATAAAAAGAATTCAAGGAGGGAAACGTAATGACATTAGATCACCAATTACAGTGCAATTGTTATCAGATATGATAAGTTGTTTAGATAAAGTATGTAAGAATAAATATGAAGCTGCTTTATTTTCAGCAGTTTTTTCAGTTGCCTTCTTTGGTTTGCTAAGGGTAGGGGAAATCACTACTTCAAAAACTAAGTCTGTTGTAAATGGCTCCAACTTAACAATTGCTGATATTTTAGTTAAGAAAAAAGTCCTAGAGCTAAGAGTAAGGTGGTCAAAAACTGACCAAAAGGGAAAGTCCGTTACTTTATTGATACCTTGGAACAGAAAAAAAACTACTGTCCGATACGACTCATTAACGAATACTGAAAGGTACGACCTACCTGTAACAATAACGATAATGTTATAATGGTATGCCTTTAACTAGATACCAATTCAGTAGTATACTGGAAAAGGCTTTACATTTTCTTCATATCAGTTAAGGTCAATTTAGGTCAGATAGTTTTAGAATTGGGGGAGCCACTGAACTGGTCAGGCAGGGGGTCTCAGAGGAGGTAATTAAGAAATTAGGCAGATGGAAATCGCATGCTTATTCTCGCTACATGTATATTAGGTTGCAATTTTTCTAGTTACAAAAGGCTAACAAGCTACAAGTTTTCACAGGTCCCAAGATTTAATGGATTTTTGGAAGTTCCCTTGTTCATTTGGCCAATGTAGAGGCAAAGAAATATGGTAGGACCAACCTTGGACTGGAGTCCAAAGGAGTCTCAGTATACTGGATTGGACAACCTGGTTTACAGTATAAAGATTTGGACTCCCTACTGGATTCAAAAAGAAAATTGTTACCTTCTCCTAATTTTATTATTATTCACTGTGGAGCTAATGATTTGACAGATTTAGAATTGACAGAAAGGGTTTTATTGAAAATGTAAAATGTTCTATCCTACGTTACCAGGCTTTATTCAAAAATGTTATCATAATTTGGTCTTCAATGCTACAGCGCAGATACTGGCATTTTGCATCCTTAAATGCGGGTCCAATAATCGAACAGAAGAGAAAAAAGTGAATTCAGTGGTCAAAAACTTTGTAATAGAAAATGGGGGAAAAGCTATTTTACATGAGAATATTAGGGCAAGTGAAGTGTCTTTATACTTTAAACAGAACAGATGGAACTCATTTATCACAAACTGGAAATCAGGTTTTATTAAATAATATACAGGGGGGGGGGGGGGGTGTTGAGTCTTTTCTACGCACAACAAAATCAAGTTTTCCAATGCTTCAATAATGAAAATGTTGTGAAGGTGAGAACCCAAGTCAGATTTGGTAGCTGACTTAGGCTCTCATGTGGCGGTCCAGGGAGACTGGTAGTGATTAGGGGATTATTTCACTCGGCCCTTGCTCTGGGCCTGACAAGTTCTACAATTTGCAGGTTTGGAAAATGTGGTAAGTGGTAACGGTGGGGTCTACAGATGGGTAACTCTGAGACCTCCTCCACCTCATCTTATAGAGGGGAGGACTACACCTGTCAACAGGTGGGGCACTAATAACTGGAGCATTGGTAATACGAGTGTTTTCCCCTGTCACTCCCCATGGTAGGTGGTGGTGTAACCGTGTTTAACTACCAGGGGTTTTAATGACACTATATATGTCAACATAGGTCAGCTGATAGCCATTGTGTATAGGTAATCGGTAGTCACCCTGGCGCCTCAACAAAATATTATAGAATACTCTGTAGCCAAAGTAATGCCACAAAGTAAAAATGTATATTCTAGTCATGAAAATGTAAATACAAGTTGGTGTAATAACATGTATGTTTAATTAGAATGATTGTTTTTTGTATAAGTGGTAAAGGTTATAAATGAAAAACAGAGGATGGAACCTCTACACAAATGAGTATAAAATACAGAAAGTATGTAGTATTTTAATCTTGGAATTTGTGAATTACAATAAACAACAGACAAAGAAAGACAACTCTATAACAATTTTTAATCACTTTGTGATTAAAGGAAGGACTTCAACATAGTTAAGAAAATACAACAACAACTCTTGATCGTTGTTCTTTATCTCATTGTTATTCGTTCAGTATTATTTTAGGGTCTTCTTCTATGAGTATTGCAATTAATGCAGAAAAAGAACATAATTTTTTTCTTTGCTCCAATATATATTTAATAGATATACCTACACGTATATTTTACATTAAGTTTGGTATTGCTATCACCTTTTTGAAGATTTATCTAATAGATGGTTATAATATAAAAATAATAACATTTGGTATGATTGCCAATGAGACAACTCTCAACCAGAGACCAAATGACATAGCGGTTAACAGCTAGAAATAGAGGAAGAGAATCACTTTGTAAGCAGATGCAGATATTCTTTGTCTTCTGTTTTAGTGTTTTGGGGTTGCTGTCACATAAACTTATTTATCACATGCATGTACATATGTTAGAGAAATAATTACTACTTATTAGTTCTATAATTTGTGGCTGATGTTACAGTGTATTGAATTTTTCATAAGGATATGTTTAACACGTGATACACTGCTTGTATTAGATGTAAGCTTCTCGTATCTGAGGTGCGTTAGCCCCAAAGATATGAAACCATTACATCTGATTTACAAAGAAAATGCAATTAGTTTTGATAAAACAAGAACAGTGTCACTATCTCAAAGTTTCCAGATGCAGTAACACTTTCAGAAGATGTTTTGTAGTTATGTACTTGGAATGAAATCTTAATTGCGTCTATTTTTCTGTCTTCAAATTGATACCTTATCACTGCTTTTGTTTGGCAATATGAATTTCTGTGCTATCTTGCCTTTTTCTGGTTTAATTGCCAAAATCTGAACTTTTTGCTGATAAATAGTGTTAGAAAAACATATTAAATCTTCCCTCAAGTACTAGCAACGAAAAGTACAACTGATCGCAAATAATGAACTTTAAATGGTATTTTAAAATATTTTGTATATAATGCTGAAAAAGAACATATTTTTTTTCTTTGCTCCAATATATATTTAATAGATATACCTACACGTATATTTTACATTAAGTTTGGTATTGCTATCACCTTTTTGAAGATTTATCTAATAGATGGTTATAATATAAAAATAATAACATGTGGTATGATTGCCAATGAGACAAGTCTCCACAAGAGACCAAATGACATAGCGGTTAACAGCTATAGGTCACCGTACGGTCTTCGACAATGAGCAAAACCCATTTATTAATTCAGTATTTCAGAATATAATGCATTTAGAAGTATCACGCGTTTTAAAACTTACCTAGATGGTTAAGTATTTATGAACTCGCCGTTTCAGAATCTAATGCATTCTGGGTGATATTTTCAAATGCGTACACCAAAGTATTTTGATTGATTAAAAAACGTCAAAAAGAATGTAAATTGAACCAATATTAATAACGTGGCGTTATTTTCATTTTGGGTACATTAATGAAACCAACCACAGTCCATCACATTCTAAATGCAGAGATATCGTGTCTGTCCATCACTACCGTAAAGGAATTGTATAACAGGCGGTTGTTCAAATCATTAATATGAAAACTAGCAAATCAAGTAGAGTTATGACTTTAGTAATACAAATGGTTTTAATGAATTTAAAAAACAATACGTCAGTTAAGGCAACTTATATCCCTTCAAAACAAAACCAAATTGCTGATTGTCTTTCTCGTTCTCAGTGGGGGAAGTTCATAAGCCTAGCTCCAGCAGCAGTCCATGGCCAACCAAAATTCCAACACAGAAATAGAATATTTAAGTCAGGTGGCGGATTATATTGTCAATCAAGGTGTGTCCTAAAATACACAAAAATCATACAATTTGGCTCTGTCAAAACTTTGTAATTTTAAATCATCTTACAAATTGAAACAGCATTGGGCAGTGCCAGTCAATGATTTGCTAAATTTTATAGTTTTTTTGTCAGTACAAGGTCTTTCTGGGGGTACCATATCATCTTATATATCAGGAGTTTCATATCATCATAAAATACGAGGCATACATGATACTGCAAAATTCTTTATAATTGGCAAGGCATTAGAAGGAATAAAAAGAATTCAAGGAGGGAAACGTAATGACATTAGAGCACCAATTACAGTGCAATTGTTATCAGATATGATAAGTTATTTAGATAAAGTATGTAAGAATAAATATGAAGCTGCTTAACTTTCAGCAGTTTTTTCAGTTGCCTTCTTTGGTTTGCTAAGGGTAGGGGAATTCACTACTTCAAAAACTAAGTCTGTTGTAAATGGCTCCAACTTAACAATTGCTGTTATTTCAGTTAAGAAAAAAGTCCTAGAGCTAAGAGTAAGGTGGTCAAAAACTGACCAAAAGGGAAAGTCCGTTACTTTATTGATACCTGGGAACCGAAAAAACTACTGTCCGATACGACTCATTAACGAATACTGAAAGGTACGACCTACCTGTAACATTAACGATAATGTTATAATGGTATGCCTTTAACTAGATACCAATTCAGCAGTATACTGGAAAAGGCTTTACATTTTCTTTATATCAGTAAAGGTCATTCTAGGTCAGATAGTTTTAGAATTGGGGGAGCCACTGAACTGGTCAGGCAGGGGGTCTCAGAGGAGGTAATTAAGAAATTAGGCAGATGGAAATCGCATGCTTATTCTCGCTACATGTATATTAGGTTGCAATTTTTCTAGTTACAAAAGGCTAACAAGCTACAAGTTTTCACAGGTCCCAAGATTTAATGGATTGTTGGAAGTTCCCTTGTTCATTTGGCCAATGTAGAGGCAAAGAAATATGGTAGGACCAACCTTGGACTGGAGTCCAAAGGAGTCTCAGCATACTGGATTGGTCAACCTGGTTTACAGTATAAAGATTTGGACTCCCTACTGGATTCAAAAAGAAAATTTTTACCTTCTCCTATTTTATTATTATTCACTGTGGAGCTAATGATTTGACAGATTTAGAATTGACAGAAAGGGTTTTATTTGAAAATGTAAAATGTTCTATCCTACGTTACCAGGCTTTATTCAAAAATGTTATTATAATATGGTCTTCAATGCTACAGCGCAGATACTGGCATTTTGCATCCTTAAATGCGGGTCCAATAATCGAACAGAAGAAAAAAAGAGTGAATTCAGTGGTCAAAAACTTTGTAATAGAAAATGGGGGAAAAGCTATTTTACATGAGAATATTAGGGCAAGTGAAGTGTCTTTATACTTTATACAGAACAGATGGAACTCATTTATCACAAACTGGAAATCAGGTTTTATTAAATAATAAAGAGGGGGGGGGGGGGGGGTGTTGAGTCTTTTCTACGCACAACAAAATCAACTTTTCGAATGCTTCAATAATGAAAATGTTGTGGAGGTGAGAACCCAAGTCAGATTTGGTAGCTGACTTAGGCTCTCATATGGCGGTCCAGGGAGACTGGTAGTGATTAGGGGATTATTTCACTCGGCCCTTGCTCTGGGCCTGACAAGTTCTACAATTTGCAGGTTTGGAAAATGTGGTAAGTGGTAACGGTGGGGTCTACAGATGGGTAACTCTGGGACCTCCTCCACCTCATCTTATAGAGGGGAGGACTACAGCTGCCAACAGGTGGGGCACTAATAACTGGAGCGTGGTAATACGAGTGTTTTCCCCCGTTCACTACCCATGGTAGGTGGTGGTGTAACCGTGTTTAACTACCAGGGGTTTTTATGACACTATGTCAACATAGGTCAGCTGATAGCCATTGTGTATAGGTAATCGGTAGTCACCCTGGCGCCTCAACAAAATATTATAGAATACTCTGTAGCCAAAGTAATGCCACAAAGTAAAAATGTATATTCTAGTCATGAAAATGTAAATACAAGTTGGTGTAAAAAAATTTATGTTTAATTAGAATGATTGTTTTTTGTATAAATGGTAAAGGTTATAAATGAAAAACAGAGGATGGAACCTCTACACAAATGAGTATAAAATACAGAAAGTATGTAGTATTTTAATCTTGGTATTTCTGAATTACAATAAACAACAGACAAAGAAAGACAACTCTATAACAATTTTTAATCGCTTTGTGATTAAAGGAAGGACTTCAACATAGTTAAGAAAATACAACAACAACTCTTGATCGTTGTTCTTCATCTCATTGTTATTCGTTCAGTATTATTGTAGGGTCTTCTTCTTTGAGTATTGCAATTAATGCAGAAAAAGAACATATTTTTTTTCTTTGCTCCAATATATATTTAATAGATATACCTACACGTATATTTTACATTAAGTTTGGTATTGCTATCACCTTTTTGAAGATTTATCTAATAGATGGTTATAGTATAAAAAATAATAACATGTGGTATGATTGCTAATGAGACAATTCCCTACCAGAGACCAAATGACATGGAGATTAACAGATATATAGGTCACCGTACGGTCTTCAACAGTGAGCAAGACCCATTTATTAATTATTAATGCATTTAGAAGTATCACGCGTTTGAAAACTAACCTAGATGGTTAAGAATTTATGAACTCGCCGTTTCAGAATATAATGCATTCTGGGTGATATTTTCAAAAGCGTACAACAAAGTATTGTGATTGATTGAAAAACGTCAAAAAAATGTAAATTGAACCAATATTAATTACGTGGCGTTATTTTCATTTTGGGTACATTAATGAAATCAACCACAGTCCATCACATTCTAAATGCAGAGATATCATGTCTGTCTATCACTACCGTAGAGGAATTGTATATCAAAGTACAATAAGTTTCTTATCGAGCTACAAAATGAAAACTAGATGACATGTTTTTTTCTGGTCAAAGGAAGACAACGCGACGAGTCTCTCTCACTACCAATGACTTACAGGTTGTCACATGCGATTATTATATATTATGTAATTTAATGTTGCTTTGCTTCCTAAGAGTTCACTAAAATGCGTAAACTTTTTTTGTCGGAAATCTTATTCAGTATTTTGCTAAATTCAAAGTCCAGTAGAATTTAATCGAAATATTTACATATTTCATTGCCTCGTCATTTCGAAGACCTCGTAATTCAGAACTTGTGTCCTTTCTATGAGGGTGTGGATGGGGATGTACAGAATACAGAATATTATAATGGGTAAAATATATATATATATATAATGAATAGAGAAAAATGGACACAAAAAAATAAAGAATAGAGAATAATGAGGTACAAAATATAAAGAATAGAAAAAAAAAAATGGGCAACAAGTATAAAGAATAGAGAAAAATGGCCTAATAAAATAATTCATTGTCAGGTTTCGTGTTTTGACTGATCTATCTAACGATACTGTCTGCACACGTAGTAAACCATGTACGAACAATAAAATTACCAACCACGCTATAGATTCTCAAACGGCGAATTGATAAAATAATAGTATATGTCGCACTGCTACATCTAATATAGTTACTATATATAAATATTAGAAGATGTGGTATGATTGCCAATGAGACAACTCTCCACAAGAGACCAAATGACAAAGAAATTAACAACTATAGGTCATCGTTCGGCCTTCAACAATGAGTAAAACCCATACCGTCATATATGTATGATGTAGTACATTTAACTTGAGATGACAGTTACGATAAACCTACCAATAGTATTATAGGTGCTACAACACACCACATGACTCCAAAGAAATAAAACGTCACAGTAGTAAATATAGTTCTACCAAGCATCATCTCTATGTCAGTCTTGAAATGTAGAAAACCTGAAATGTAAAACGTGGATAGGGCAATTATTGCAAGGTACAGTGGCGGAATCAGGGGCCGTAGAGGGCAAACGCTCCTCTCTTTGATTGGAAAATAATAATTTTTCAAACATAAAATTGTCCAAATTTGTCACGCCTCGCTCGTATATATTCAGTTTTGTTGCATTATGCCTTTTTTCAAAAATCCTAGATCCACCCCTGCCGTATATGTCAATAAAAAATCACTTTGAATTAAATATACTAATTGTACATACAAAAAGCATAAGACGCTGCGTAATGTAGCTTCCAAAGTTCAATCTAATAGTATAGAATTGAACAAGAAGCAATATATTTTGCTGATATTTTTTCCTACAAATGCTAATGTCAAATATTTAACATATTTTGCAATTTTAGCTATTACAACTCTCAAACATTTTACCAACTCTCAAATATTTTACCATAACAGATAAGCTTACACTATTCTTCTCGTATTTTTATGATAGTATGATACTAAATCCCAAACGGGAGGGATTGTGCTTGATTTTCATATGACGAAGACATAATTTTTCAATCAGTTCAATTGAGGTCTGGAGCTCGCATGTCAGTAACTCCTAGTTGTCCTTTGTTAATTTATGTTATCATTGTCATTTTGCTTAGTTTCTTCTTTTACGTATTCTAACATCGGACTCGGACTTCTTTTACACTGAGTTTTACTGTGCTTATTGCTGTGTGTTTGTTTATTCTACATTGGCTAGAGGTATAGGGGAAGGGTTGAGATCTCACAAAACATGTTTAACCCGCCGGGATTTTGCACAAATCCCATGTCAGGAACCTCTGGCCATTGTTAGTCTTGTGTGTTTTTTTTTCAATTTCGGTTCATTTATATGATTTGGAATTTAGTTTGACGTCCATATTCTATAAACAAGTGCACTTTTTTGTTTAGTGACCAGCTGAAGTCCGCCTCCGGTTGCGGGATTTTCTCGCCATGTTGAAGACCCTTTGGTGGCCTTGGACTGTTTTCTCATCTTTGGTCGGGTTGTAGTCTCTTTGACACATTCCCCGTTTCCATTCTCATTTTTATTAGACATCAAAGTAGTCGATTTGAATCGAGAAGTCTATCTCGAAGTATCGTCCTGAACATGCATGAAATATTTGCCACTGGACGTTAAGCGACTAACAATCAATCAATCTATCTCGAAGTTTAGTTTTACAAAATTCTAGCGAAGGTAATAACTTGTTTTCGCCTTACCTCTAAGAAAGCGCATGGGATATTTTTCAGTGTCAGAGGTTGAAAAACTAAATCCATATACATATATTACTACTATTATTTCTACTACTCCAACAATGAGCAAAGGGAAACCTCCAACATAGTTATCTAGAAGGTTAAGCATATACAGTCCACCCTGTAAATTAAATAAAACAGATTTCACGTATTATCTATTACCATTTTAATTTTCCTGTTACTGTTTTACTACTGTAAAATTCTTAAAAATTTCTCAAAAAAAAAAACAAGAAAAAACAAGCGTACAAATCAATGAAAGAAATCTAAAAGTATTCCATTTTCAATTTGAAAATCCTTTTTTTGAAGTGCAAAATCATACGACAAGATATTGGTTTATAAGATGAAATAAAATAGGATCATAATATTGTTATAGTATAAACTGTTCTTCCTGTTCTTTTCAATATAATTTAGAATACTTTTTTTCAGCAAGGTTTACATGTATATTCATGTGTTACTTTCCTGACGAGGCCTTTGGCAATGTTTGATTGGTGAATGTATGAGCAGTCCTTCACAATCATACCTCATCTTCATACTTTTTATAGTATTTTGTACTTATTAATAAGGTATATATAAGAGTGAAAAATATAACATGCATATTCAGGACGATGACATATTTCAATGTACTCGACTATCACGCAGGTTAGGTCTTTTTCACGTGTTAACCTATAGCTATACATGGTATCAGTCCCAAAAAGGACATGGCCAATTTTAGTCTGTTGTGTTATCTTACCGACGATCGACCCTTCGAAGTGGTCACGCTACCACGAAAACACCGAGATGATTGGCTTTTAAAAAAAATGATGAACCATTTCTATTACCACACAAAGACTCAATAAAAGTTATGTACTTCATTTGAATAGCCACATATACATTATACAAGCTTTAACATCTGAGCACGTGGAAGGCATTCGAGTATTCTTTTTTTTTGCCAATGAGATAAAATACTACCTTGGTAACCATTGGAAGACCAAGTACAAAGAAGAAGAAACAAACAAATAGACGGAAGAAATATAATCGCCTTTTATCTTTCTTCATGAAGTCTTCAAATTGATCGTATATCCCAGTTATAACTGTTTCTGTCATGGAAAACTGAAAATATAGAATAAGATAAGAAAAGAACTTTAAAAATAGGTTGCGATAAGTAATACTTTTCAAATCTCTGGTGGATTTGGTAACACTATAAAATTATTATTCAGAAAATGGCTAGTTTCAGCTAGTTTTATACAGAAATTTACGCAAAAATACTCGACAGACACAAAATATTGACACCAGCAATCGATACAATTTGTAATAAATTCAAATATTTGACAATACATATATTTTAGATAAAGAAGCTTTTTTAAGATTGACAAAAATGTAAAATTGTCAGTTAAATAAAAATATCACTATACGTACAATTGAACTGAATCCTAGAATCATCATCATTAGAAAAAAGAGAACAGCCCAAACAGGGGACACAGGCATCTGTGCTAATGCCTCAGGATATACTATGAAGGCAAGTCCTGGACCTGATAGAAAAGTTTATTTATAAATTCGTATAATATAATGCAAAACGATGAAATATGATGTATGTCTTTATGTTGTGAACGCGTGTATTACGTATTTGAAAACGTTATTCACATATTTAGATTGATTGGAATATTCAATGACTTGTTTGTTTAAATGCACGAGTAGTCTTTTAATTCTATATCTGTACAGTATCAAATAACAATACCCCCCAGCAGCTACTTTGTCCACAGTAGTGTTTTAATTCTATATATGTACAGTATCAAATAACAATACCCCCAGCAGCTACTTTATCCACAGTAGTGTTTTAATTCTATATCTGTACAGTATCAAATAACAATACCCCCAGCAGCTACTTTATCCACAGTAGTGTTTTAATTCTATATCTGTACAGTATCAAATAACAATACCCCCAGCAGCTACTTTATCCACAGTAGTGTTTTAATTCTATATCTGTACAGTATCAAATAACAATACCCCCAGCAGCTACTTTATCCACAGTAGTGTTTTAATTCTATATCTGTACAGTATCAAATAACAATACCCCCAGCAGCTACTTTGTCCACAGTAGTGGTTTTCTTATGCGCCATAAATCCAAGTATAGAAAATGTAACGAATCCAGCATAAAAACTGGTCAGGCAGTTAATGAGAGGAATCATCAACGCATCCCTGAAATAAATAGAATTAGAAAATAATCAAACAATTTGTTCATCTCTTGTTAATTGCTACACCTAAATGTGATTATCAAATGTATTTTTGTTTTTCTTTGACATTCATTAGTATTTTGTGGACTTGTTCGTCTCTCATCGCTTTTGTTTTTGCCATGTCGTTGTTAGTTTTTCTTCGACATATGGGTTTTTTAATGTCCACTTGGTATCTGCAACCTCTTATTTAGATACACAGGTTTAATATTTAAACGTAACATTAAGGCTTTACAAAGTCGGAAACACTGCAACATGTACATGTAAGAGTTAATAATACAAAGACAAGTATACAATAGAAATCCCTCCTATTTTTTACGAATTGAAAAAAAAAGATATTATTACGTTGCATCTATTCTACGAAGCTTGATTTGTAACACTTACACGGATATTTTATACAAATTTTAACTAGATATCATTGTTCACCAACAAAGTGGAACACAAGTAATGTTTATCAACATCGTGGAATACAAATGGTTTACCAACATAGTGGAACACATATGGCTGACCATTATCAGAACAAATATGGCTTACCAACATCGTGGAACACATATAGTTTTCCAACATAGTGGAACACATATAGTTTATTAACAAAGTGGAACACGTATGGCTGACCAAAACCAGAACACATATAGTTAATCAACATAGTGGAACACATAATGGTTGACCAACATCAGAATACGTATGGCTGACCATTATCAGAACAAATATGGCTTACCAACATCGTGGAACACATATAGTTTACCAACATCGTGAAACATATATATTTTACCAACATAGTGGAACACATATGGTTTACCAACATAAGGGAACACATATGGTTTACCAATATAGGGGAACACACATGGCTTACCAACATTGTGGAACACATATGAATTACCAACATAGAACATATATAGCGTACCAACATTGTGGAATACATATGGCTTACCAATATAGTGGAACACATGTACTTGCCTCAGGCAATTATTCCTGAATTCGTTGTAACTGGACATAGCTATCAGACCCCCAACACAAGTACCAAGAGAGTAGAATATTTGTACAGCTGCATCACTCCAAACCTTCAATCAGAATGATGCAAACTCAAGAACAACAAATATGTATTATTATTTGAAAACTTATTATAGAACTGCTGCTTAATGTTGTTTTCCAACATTAAGTAGCAAAGTTTAGATTGCATATGTACGCTCTATTATCATGGGCATGCAGTTGTTTGTACAAGACCATAGAATGGAATTAGTATCGCTAATCTTATCAAAGCTGTCAAATATTCGGGATGATCGTATCAGCTTATTTGAAATATCTGTTGACTAGTGTGCAATACGATGCTTCAATGTTTAAAACAAACAAACTGATCTTCTTGGTCGTACAATGTAAGTGACAATAATTTGAATCTCAACATCGCACAACATAAAATTTAACATTGAATTCAAAGAAATATAAATGTACATGTAATTGCAGCTTTTTCATGGAATGATCTCAGAGATTGTCAATGGCGTACTCACCTCAGCCTTTTTTAGTTTCTCAAAATATGGAGTCAGATAAAACTTGATTCCCTCCATATGCCCTTCCAATGTACAACCGCGGATAAGTAGTGCTGTTAGAAGGAAGTAAGGGAAAATGGCGGTAAAATAAACAACCTGAAAAAAAGTGATGCTTGACACCTTTTTATAGCAGCTATAACATAATACGAGATAACAAGAGAAACGAATCATATTAAGTTTAAACTGAAATTTATTTTAAAATATGATAAATAGGTTAAAAATCTTAATTGGTCTAATGAAAAACATTCATTTGCAAAGATATTCCATACAATTTAGAAAATCTTACCAATTAAGAAACTTTTCAGTGAGAAAATGACGTATTATTAAACGAAGGGTCAAATTTATTTTACGGAAAATGATATAAAAAAAGGGTTAACAAAAAAGAAGAATCGAGAATTCAAATATCTAAGAAGGAATTTAAATTTTAAATTAGACAGTGTTTTTGTAACAGTTTCAAGTTTTAAGTGCAAAATTAATTTCCTTTTTGACATTTTTGGAGAGAAAAAAAATTTTTTTTCAAATCAATCTATTGCGAATAGATTTCGCGTTTGTTTGCTTAAAATCAAGAGCTTTGATGAGAAAACAACACTCTGTAACCATTAGACCAATTGGGCAGCGGAGATAATTTTATACTACGACGTACCTATTCAAATGTTCCATACCTTGCCTAGTGATTTGATTCCTTTAGATAAAACTAAGAATGTCAGAAGCCAGACAAACAGGTTACATAACGAAAGATCCCATTTAAGATTCTGCATATCTTCTATACCACTTGAAAGTTGTAGAACTTCGTTACTGGAAAAATAAAAAAAGTAATAGAGGCGAAAGATACCAACAAGGGATTATCAAACTCATAAGTCGAAAACAAACTCACAATGCCAAGGTAAAAAAAAGAAAAAACGGCCAGAAGACAAACAACAGTATGCAAATCACAACATAGAAAACAAAGAGTGAGCAAAACGAACCCCACCAAAAACCAGGGGGAGCTCAGGTGCTCAGGAAGGATAAGCAGATACTCCTCTACATGTTGCACCCGTAAATAAATAAGGTATATTTCATTCAGTAAAGGTACAGCATATCAATCCTATAAATAATGTTCATGTACTTGACTTAAGTTTGAAACTTCGTCTGTGTATTTCGCGTTTTTGTTGTTGGTTAATCTTGTTTTTTGTCATTTGTAAAATTTTGATTGCAAATTCTCTGTTTTACTTATTTCAAATATTTTTACATCAGGCCGGATGGTTTATTTCGTTCGTAAACCTGTCCATTGTTGACCTTTAGAAGCCTTGTAATATTTTGTGTCGTTAGGTTGTTGTCTCATTGACATTTTTAGTGAAAGTAAAAAAACTTAATCAGTTATACCTATTCAATTAAATTGAAACAAAAACCAAATAATTTGTAGTTCACTTCATTATCATTATATGCAATAATGTTCAATAAATTCATTTTAATCAGTTTGTGATATGTATACAGTTAACGCATGTTCATAAAAGGGTAAATTCTTTTTCCTTAATATCGTATGTCTTCTTACTTGAAAACACTAGATGTTAAGCAGCAATCAATCCATCAATCGATCAATCATACCTGAAATACTCGTCACTTGCTGCCACTGTTGCATTTTCTTCATATGTAAAATTTACTAAAATAAAACGAGTAGTTAAACATTTAAACTCGTTTATTGTTTGCATAGTTTTTTCTTGGTTTGTGCCGTTACACCACTGTCCGAGGTTAGAAGAGGGTTGGCGCCTTCAAACTAGTTTAACCCTGCCACATTCTAAATGTGCTTGTCCAACGCCAGGAGCATGTGGATCAGTAGTTGTCGTTGGTTCATATCTGTCATGTTTTTTTTTTGTACATGTTTTGTTATAAATTAGGCCGTTAGTTTTCTCAATTGAATTGTTTCATAGTTGTCATGTCGGGGCCTTTTATAGCCGATTATACGGTATGGATTTTTCTCATTGTTGAAGGCCGTACGGTTGCCTATAATTGCTTACAACCACTTCATTTGAACTTTGGTGGATAGTTGTCTCACTGGCAATCATACCATATCTCCCTATTTTTATAAAAATAAATGATTTAAGAAAGAAAAATGTCACTTGGTAAGGTGGTAAGAGTTCCATATGACACCCTAACTTACTAAACGAACATCATAACATCTAACATGTTTAGTTTATTCCGTTGTGGTGCCAAAAGAACTTAATTTTTAAAATAAACTCTTTTAGCTGTATTTGTTTGGTTTTTTTTTCAGAAATTTGATCTATCCCTTCACTACCGCTTTAACTTACGACATGATATATTTTGTATAAATTGCCTGAGAAAAGATGTAAAATGTGTAATCTTCTAAAGTTATCACAAAGGCATTCCTAGTATGGTGTTTGTGTCATTTTTGGTATTATTATGAGTAGGTTGTTATTCAAAGGAGTAGGTCCGGTAAGGGCCGATTTTGGCCTCAAAATTCAGGTTCATCTGATTAAAGATTTTGGACACTTTTTAAACACTTAAGTGTCTACTTCAGTCGATTCAATTAGTTTATGTGAAAGATTTGAACTGATTTAGTCATTAAAGACGCTCAAATGCAAGCTTAAATATGAAAAATCTATCAAATATGCCATAATATGTCACTTTTCAGATGGTTTTTGTCAAAAATGAAAGTGGCCGCATCTGTGTTCATTCTCAACCTTTATATAAGTTATGTATTATCATCAAATACAACTTACATTTAAATATTAAGAATGATAACAAATGCGGCCACTTCCATTTCAGACGGAAACCGTCTAAAAATTAACCAAAATGCTAAAATTTCGAAGATTTCAGTAATTTAACATGACTTAATGATGCTAGTACCCGATACATGAGCATTGTATTGTCAAAAACAGCCCATATTTATGTGACAGAAGTATTCTTTTTTCCAATTTAAAATAGCTAAAAATTTACATTTTAACAATTTTGTAAAACTGCTATACTTTGGGGCCAAAAGGGGTCTTACTGGGCCTACTCCTTTTGATACTAACATTTTTTAAATATTTGATTTCCAGTATCACAGATAGCGAGAAATCCTATTTATAAACGGACATTAGTGTAATTAAGGGAATTCGTGTCCTGTTGGATTGAAAGTGAATTTAGTGTTAAAATTGCGTTAAAATAGAGAAAAAATAAAATGAATCAGCGAAAATTAGAGATAATAAACACATATATCTAAGAAAATTAGCAAATCATCAAAGACTCAAACGAGTACCCTTCATCGAAAATTGTACTGAAAATTGACGAAGTTTCATCATTTGATAAATTGGAATGTATACAAATTAATATTATCTCGCAATGAAGTTTTTGCACGTCAGCCAATCAAACGTTGCTGCTTTTGGTGTACCGTTAATCGCGACTGATTATTATTTTTAAAAAGGAATGTTTGCAGTGTAAATTATTTTTGTAATAAATGGTATTACTAACGTGTTATCATATCTGGTTTGGGCGAGCGTTTCTAATAAACCAAACCATAAAAATAATTGTGCATTCTATTAAAAAATTACCACAATTGCAGCTACTTACAACATTCCAATCTTGTGCCGTTCCAAGGATCTTGAAGTGAATCGTTCTGAGTGCCGTCTCGACAGTTACATGTACTCCATGCTTCATCGCAGTACTTCCATGGAACTTCCGGTTGCATCGACGCAAAGAAGAAATAAGTGCAGTATGCAATGATAACAGCGTAGTATATGGACACAAGGCTGGAGATTGCCAACATGGTTACACCAAGACCTAAAGTAGAAATGTATGGCAATGACATCGTACGTTCAGAAGGCAGTTATATACAGCGTACATGCTTTTTCTGTAGACTGAGAAAATTGTTTTAAGAATCGGACCACTTGTATATATAACTGTCTGAAGACATGTTAGAATTACAAATATTTGCGATTAAAGTTCGAAGGTCTCTGAATTAGTCCCACCAAAGGAAGAAAAAGAACACAAAATACGATTCAGAAAGTGTGGAAGCCGGTTAGAATTACAGTGAAAACAAATTATGTCGTCATAGGTTGTCGTTATTTCGACGTAGCATAGATATGTTGTAATAACGACATACAATTGTTTTCTTGTGACCCTAACAGGTTTTCGTAAAAAAGAAAAAACGACACTTGAAAACAAAACGAAATAAACCATCACGCATGCGTCATCTGTAACGTGAATAAGAGATAATACTTCATCCTTACTATTACTATATGATCCGACTATCAATTAGTATCTAAGAATGTAGATTTATGGATGATAAAGGTTAAAATGGAAAAAAAATGATGGAGTAAAATACAATTATACAATATAAAGATATCATCTAAAACATTTAACTTTACCTTTGAACCAAGGGTTTATCCGCCATACTTTAATAGGTCCAAGACTACAGAATTGTCCCAAGCATAGCTCAAGGTAAAATAAAGGTATACCAATCATAACTAGGCAAATGAAATATGGAATGAGGAAAGCTCCTGAAATAGAAACAAGAAAAGATGGAACAATGTTGAAACAATAGATTTCAAAGGAAATTACATTGTGATATAACCACTGAAGACACACGTTTTTATTGGTTTTCGATTCACACAGTGGTGAGTTTTCCTTCGTTGGGATAGCTCAGAGAATACTGTCCTGCTATCTAAATACAGCGAATACCAAAAGTCAGTTAAAGAAACAAACATAGGTATACGTCAAGCCAATCATAGTACATAATCTATTTGATAGAGAATATTCCAGATTGTGCAAAACAAGACGAAATCATCAAAGTACATAAGTTCAGAATAGAAAATTTGCAAAATCAAAGCAAAAGACTGCAACTCTAATTCGCCGTTTCAGAATCTAATGTATTCTGGGTAATATTTTGAAAATCGTACATTAAAACGTGGTGATTGGTTTAAACCGTTCTAAACAATGGAAATTCAACCAATGACGTAACATTATTTTCATTTTGGTGAACGAACAATGATATTACCCATAGTCCTTTTGGTGAACGAACAATGATATTACCCATAGTCCTTTTGGTGAACGAACAATGATATTACCCATAGTCCTTTTGGTGAACGAACAATGAGATTACCCATAGTCAGATATATTGATTTTAAGGAAGTCCTAACTGGTGTCCGTAGTATAACCACAAAGACATATCTGCAGCATAATAAAAGAAAAGAATCATAATTATCTTCTTCAAAAATGCAAATGTATCTCCAGATAAGTTTATGTAAAACTTTCGAGCAAATTTGTTTATCAATGAAACTGTTTTACGATGCACACTTTACCTCCACCATTTCTAAAGCAGAGATAAGGAAATCTCCATACATTGCCGAGACCGACAGCAAACCCGACACAGGTCAATATAAATTCTAACTGACTTCCCCAGTTCGCTCTCTTGTCGACATCGTCTGCTTCTTCTACCAGATGTTCTTTTTCTTTTACTTCACCATTTTCGTTTTCTACTGCAAGTGTCACCTATAAACGAATACAATTATATGTACATGTACATACATACAAAGATTGATAGAAGATACAAAGGGGATAAACAAATGGTCATTACACTAAATCGGTCATTTCAATATTTTAATGTAATTTTATATTTACGAATGATGTCCTTGTACACATGCTAAAAAAATCAAATAAATCGTAAAAAAATTATATAATTATTTTTTTTTGGCGACCAACGAGGGGGTGAACGCCCTCTAGGCCACCTGGATCCGCCAATGGACCCAGTTTCTTACAGATCACATGAACACGTAAAAGGTTTTAAGAACTTGCCTGTTTGATCTTTTTCATAAAAACAAAACTGATGCAGTTTCTTGCCGAGACCAATGTTTACGATAGTACGGCATTTATTAACTTATTCACTACAATATCATACTTAGTGTGATAATACGTATATTTGTGATGTCATACTTAAGAATATACTACTGTTGGAAGAAGTTGGAATTGAAAGTGCGTACACAATGCATTTGTAAATAAAGGCGAAAAAGTGAATGCCATGTTTCAATTAGATGTTTTTACTAACATAAAAAATTGTGACTTGCTGAACCATGTGCAAGATTTTAACCTTATATTAATCAATTATAAGCAAAGCCTTTTGACATGAAAAATAACATCCTTTGTCAAATTGTCACTTAAATCGGAAAAATAATTATACTTAAAGGCAAATGTAATTTAAAAAATGCAGTTTTGGTGTGAATGTCTTCTTTTTGCGAACATACATTCGGATTTCCGCGTATGATTATTGGAATAAAAAAATAAAAACAACACTTTATAAATTTCATGCGTACCTTTACCTTCATCAGGAATGCCCAAAGCCGACTATTAGAAAACAGTTGAAGAGCCTATATGACAAAAAAAAAGGACCTAAAAATGATACCAAAATTCATCTAAGGTCAGCTTTGTCTGATGGAGTTGAAACCTTAGTTTTTCCATAATTTCTAAATTTTTAAAACGAACAGTTTAAGAAAGATCTGTTATAGATCATGGCAGTAAATATAGACGTAGTCTAATTAATAGGTGCAAGATACCGACACATGTTCCTAATGCTATCCATCTTACTGGACAGTGGTGAAGGCCTGTAGTAAGATACGGACACATGCTCCGCATGCTATCCCATCTTACTGACCAATGGTCAAAGCCAGGAAAAAGTTTAAACGTCTATGAACGAAAGTCTTATTTAGGTATTAGAAAATACAATTAAAATCATACATAATTATGCAACACCAAGTAAAAATATGAAAAACATAATTCATAAAATGTAGTCATTTGGTCCAAAAGTTGAATAAAGCACATTATCTGATGAAAGTGAAAATAATCCACCTGATGAATGGGATCCTTTAATCTGATATACGAGGGGATGGATTGGGGGAGGGGGTCTTTAATTATTTCTTTCTTTTTTTACCCATTCTTCTCTAATGTTTATATTTTGCACCCTATTATTTTCTCTATTCTTTATATCTTGCACCCTATTAATTTTCTCTTTAATTTTTTCAATACTCATATTGTTTACCCTTTATTCTCTATTCTGTAAACCCCGAACCCCGATCCAGACACTCGCATAAGCCAATGACGTTATTTCACATCCAGACCGAAAAACAGAGTTAATGTTTAGCTAAGTACAACCCACCGTAGATTGTCACAATAGTGATGTCATTACTGTCAATCTTATCATATATCTGGACGAAGATGAAACAGATTATACTTTGTAGCTGCAGCATAGATAATTGTCGTACAAACTAGAAAGTGACGTACCATGAAATGGGGTATATTGTACGTTAAGAATAGAAAAACTTAGTACTAGTATGTATGTGTGCCTTATGTCGCAAATCTGCACTGATAAAAATAAACCCTTAGGTTTATCATTTCAACATGTTCGACTGTAAGTCATTCGTGCACCCCTATACATCTTGTATTAAAAAGATGTAGATGTTTTTTACTAACATAAAAAAATTGTGACTTGCTAAACCATGTGTAAGATTTTAACCTCATAATTATCAATTACAAAGAAGGCATTTTTTACATTAAAATAAAACATGCTTTGTTACTTAAAGCGTCTTAAATGCGTGTTTTTTTATTAGTTGTTATTGGCTTTGAATTAGCTGTCAGTAACTGCGAGTATTCTCAGATCTGCACTTAGTGTCTTTTTGTTGTGGGGATGTATCTAAGTATCCTGTCACGTCCACTTTGTGTTTTTGTTACTTGTTTTTGTGCTTTGTATCGATCTGATGAGTTAAGCCCTTTTCAACTGATTTTTATAGTTTGTTCTTATGTTTTACTGTTGCACCACTGTCCTAGGTTAAGGGGAGGGTTGGGCGCCGCTAACATGTTTAACCACGTCACATTCTGTATGTGCCTGTCCCAAGTTAGGAGCTTGTAATTCAGTGGTTGTCGTTTGTTGCTGTATATCATATTTGTTTTTTGTTCTTTATTTTGTACATAAATCAGGCCGTTAGTTTTCTCGTTTGAATTATTTTACGTCATTTCGGGTCCTTCTATAGCTGACTATGCGGTATGCGTTTTACTCATTGTTGAAGGCCGTACGGTGACCTATAGTTGTTAATTTCTGTGTCATTTGGTCTCTTGTGGAGAGTTGTCTCATTGGCAATCAAACCACATCTTCTTTTTTTTATATACCATAATACTTTAAACCGTTATTTACACCTATCACTTCACATGAAAAATAACAAAAGGAACTTTCATGAAAAACGTTAATATTTATTGTAATTCGATTTTTACCGGAAAACACCATGTATACACGAACCTGTATCATTTGATCATGTGTATTCCTATCAGAGTTGGTTAGCTTTTTATGATCGATTGGCATGACTATCAGTAGAAGGTGTTGGAAATAACCGAAATGAAAATGTTCGTCGTTATTTTACCAATGTGTACCATTTCACCGGAACTGACACTTTATAATTAGCTGCTTTAACCAACGGGCATGATACCAGTTGTCGCCTGACATACCCTTGTCTTGTTTGTGTATTGTAATTTTAAGTCTAATTAATTGTTTCGGCATCTTATTCTTGTTGTCTACTACCGTATCAAGGTCATATGAATACAAAACAGGTAATGTGGATCCATTTATTGTTATGGAAACCAATTTTTGTGGAATGAGGAAACATGTATTTTCATGGATATTTGGTTTCGTGGTTTTCCAAAGTCAGCACACGCACAAGCCTTTTAAACATTTTTTTTTCATTGAAACCTTTAAAATTCGTTGTTTACATACACCCACGAAATCCGCGAAAATTGGCACCCCATGAATAATAATGAATCCACCGTATTACACCTACCCTTTCAGAGTAACTGATATCACTCCAGGTTTGATGGCCAAAAGTCTTATAGTATTTTTTAAAGTTTTTTCTTTTTTTCTTTATACAGTGTTATTTTTTTATTATCATTAAACATTTACAGTTTGTTTGTGGCAATATAAATTTAAACAAACAATACACCTTATCGCTATTTATCCGCTATTACTGGACATCACAAAAGTTCCCGTAAAATTTTGACGTCATAATAGAAAATATCTGACGCCACAATGGAAAAGTGATTGTTGTATGACGTCAAAAGTTCAAGCGGGACAGATTCTCGGGTCAAGCGGGAATAGCGATAAGGTGTATAAACAACAAGATAAAAACAAAACAGTATACAAAAAAACATAAGTGATAGATTTACAATATTACAATATTCAATAGCCATGTTACAATGAGACATCTGCCCTCAGTTCTAACGAACTTTTAAAAAAGAAGCCAATAATTCCAACATGTCTCAAGGAAGCGGGGTTTAGTATATAAAATATTTTTTGTTCATCAGGGAAATGAATGAAATGTTCATCATCTAATTGTATATCATTAAATAGATTTTGTCTGATATTCTGGTTTACCTTGCAATTCAGAATAAAATGAAATTCATCTTTGATGACTTAATTTGCAGGTTTTGCACAGTCTTTGTTCTCTAGGAATTTTAATGTAATGTCCATTTTCTATTTCAAGACCATGGTCACTTATACGAAGTATGGTAACAAGTTGCTTTTAAAAAAAAAAAAAGACAATGAACCTTAGAACTTTTTTTATTCTAGTTATTAATTCAACTGAATAAGAAATTATATATCAGTGTTATCTTGGCCATGTGTGTGGAGGATAATATTTTTTTTTATTGTAAATCATTACAATTTTGGCATGTTGAGAGAAGTGTTAAATATAAAGCGAGGAGAGAAAAAAAAAAGATTCCCAGACGTATAATTTCTTAAAGAATAATAATAATTCAAAACATGGAGGACACATGTACCTTCTTCCAAATATTCATAAAATTAATCTAGAAATAAGTAATGAGGCATTGCGAACTGGTCAGCTAGTAGAACACATTAATGTTCGTTACCGACCAATCATCAATAAGTGTAACTCTCCCGCGAGAGATACTTACTTGATCTAATTATAAATATAAAAAAGAAGATGTGGTATGATTGCCAATGAGACAACTCTCCACAAGAGACCAAATGACACAGAAATTAACAACTATAGGTCACCGTACGGCCTTCAACAACGCATAGTCAGCTATAAAAGGCCCCGAAATGACAAATGTAAAACAATTCAAACGAGAAAACTAACGGCCTAATTTGTATAATATGTACAAAAAAATGAACGAAAAACAAATATGTAACACATCAACAAATGACACTAGACTCAAGCTAGCAGCCACTTTTAGCAGCCAATCAAGATATCAGCCACTTTTTTCCAGCAGCCAATTTTGATGATATGTCTAAAAACCCAAAAACTATATCAGAGTCAAACGTTCCAAAAATCTCAAAATCTAAGTTAAATGTAATTTAACAGCGGAATTCGACAATTTCACGGCTTGTAGTGATTCTCAAAGGATTTCTGTCCATTTTAAATACCAATAATGATAGCAGCCACTTTTTTAAAAAAATTCTAACTACCAATTCGATATATATATTGTTTTTTAACGTC